AATAAAAACCTCTTCAAATACTTTGCATGGTTAACTTAAACTTCAATTCAAATTATTGCTACAAGAAAAACGTCATTTGTCGCAGTAACGTTGTTAAATCTTATTATTGAACGACGCATTTTCGAACGCATCTTTAATACACCTTCCCGGGTGTGCGGGAGGGGCCTTCAGTCGGCGGAGACCTATTGGTGAACGAGCACGTGCGGGTCTGAGAGCTGTAAGTAATTTTTTATAGTTCTTCACATTTTGTCATTAAAAATATCATTTGTGTTTCAACCTAAACTCCTTAAATGCACATACGTAATATTTTCGTTTGTATTTTATTCAATAGCCAGTGGCAAATGAATTCATTTAGTCTAATCATAACGGTTTTTTAATGCTCACAGACAAGTCCATTACAGGTTTTTTCCTCAACTCGTCATTCTATGCTACATCATTGTCGGCACTTATCCGATTCGCCGTCATCGCAATACCGGAATAAATATATGTTTTATATTATCAGTCAATTGTCGTCCCAACACAGTAATATAACTAGAATAACCTGGAATTATTCTGAAGCTGGGCACGGAAAGGGTGCTCCTGATGGCGTTGGTGGTACAATAAAAAGAGTAGCAGATCAAATGGTGCATTTTGGTTCAGATGTTGGAAATTTTGATGAGTTTTACAAAATCATGGAATCAAGATTAGAAAATATTATAATTCAAAGAGTTTCAGAGCAAGACATAATTCAGAGGGAGAGATTGATTCCTGAGCAGTTGAAACCATTCAGGGGCACCCTTTCAGTACATCAGGTTCTTTGGGACGCGTTCAGACCTAAAATCACTATGAGAAATATGAGTTGCTTCCTATGTGATGCTGGTGAAATTTGCTCCCATGGTAAGCATCTGGGTTATATCAATAATAAGTCCTTTAGAAATCAGAACGACGATCTTGATTCTTGTGTAACTCCCCTGGCAAACACTAAGCGTAAATCTCAAAATCAAAACAAAATTCAGATTATTTCTAATGTTCTTATTGATGTCACTAATAAGACTCAGCTTCAGTGAAAATTGACCCATTTTGATTATTCCAATTTAGTTGATAATAATTGCGATTGGAATTAAGATGATAATACGTGATATTTTTTGCGTGAAATCTTTTGAATCCTAAAATTGTAAGTAAAAGTATACTATTTGAAACTTAATATTTGTCTATCCTGTGTGTAGATCAAGGATATTACGGGGATGAGGACGCAATGCGGATGCAGATATGAATATTTTTAAGAGATATACATCACGTAGCTAAAATATGTGGAACTCTCTTAATAATTATGTCCTTAATTGAAGAAGTTAATCTGTGATTTTTTAAAATAATTACCAAATTACTATTACCAAAGAAAAACTAAATCCCGTATTACAGAACATAGCTCAATACTAAAGCATTACTTAAAACTAGATTCAAGCCAGTTGATTGGTTGAAACTATTTTTTTTATTTCATCAGTACTCAAGAATTACTTAAAAGTAGATCCAAGCCAGTTGATTTCTTGAAACTATTTTTTTTTTATTTGATTAATACTCAAGCATTACTTAAAATTAGATTCAAACCAGTTGATTGGTTGAAACTATTTTTAAGTAACGCTTGAGTCTTGGTAGACGTTCTATAATACGAGACTGAGTCCTTTATTAGCTAGATGATTAAGTTATTTGAGTGTGACAGTTTGTTTTTAAGAAATATCTAAGTACCTACTTAGCTTCACAGTTACGTATTTATCGCCTCACGCTAATAATTTAAGATTGTCATTTACTTTGAATCCTTTGTTTAATAAATAAATATTATATAATATACTTAATAAATATTTTGATTACTTAAATGTTTTTTTATTGTTAAATACCCAAAAATGAAAGATTTTAGATCATTGTCTGCAACACGGCGTCATTATTATACAAGCTAAAGTCATTCTCAGTGCGTGGTGTCATTAGTATCAACGTGAATAATTAGAAATTTACAAATATTACGAAGAATAATGAAAATTAATACGTGCCTTTCATAAAATAATCTTTTAGAGTATGCTTACATTGCATTTAGCTTGATAAAAATAGCTTACATAAAGGTTCTAAAAAATATATGAAAACTTAACAAAAATAATTTATTTCGAAGAACAACCCGGTTGCATCCTTTCGAATATTCGCAGTATTCACGTTTGATTTCAAAGCGCATTATATATGTATATAAAGCCACAAGTTCTTACTCACTGATAGAAGTAGAACGCATACTTCCTGATATGGTAGAAAAAAGATATTTATACCGTTGTACGCGGATAGGCTCCAAGGCGAAGAATCAAATATGAGAAGACCTGAATGTGGAAAATGGAAACGAGTGATCAATGGCCTGCAAAACCTATAATACATGAGAGGGATTTTTGTGCATTTTTATGAGATACGCCCTGGTCAATTTCCGCGGGAAGTAAAAAATGTTCGAAATTCAAATAAACAATATAGCCGCCATACAAATTTCAAAGCCTCCTATCACGGAAACTATTAGATAGGTAGGAGGTGCTCGAAGGAATGTCATAGAGGGCAATACTGGTCAACTGCCTGAGTTAAAAAAAATCAAGATGGCGGTTTCAAAATGGCGGCCGAAGAAAAACTTGCTTCGATCCGGCTGAAAATTGGCAGGCGAGGGTCTTTAGGAGTCCTTAATCATAATTTGGGGTCAACAATTTCTTTTCGCCATTTTTTAATATGGCTGTCATATAAGTGTATTTTCGTTAAAAATAGCTGCCGAAAGAGATTTGCTCTGATTCGACTGAAAATTGGCATGTGAAGGCCACTAGAAATGCCGATAATAATTTGCGCTCAAAATTTGTTTTTCGCTATTTTTAAATATGGCCATCATAGAAGCGTTCGTTGGCGGCAGATCAAAATTTGCACTAATTCGATTGAAAATGTCTTTATGAGTGTTTAATAATAATTAGCGGTTAAAATTTATTTTTCACCATTTTTCAATATGGCTACCATACAAACTTTTTTGACGATATATACCAATTTCTTCTAATTCGAAAAATGACATGCCATCATAACTTGGAGTAAAAATTTTGTTTCCGCTGTTTTTCGATGTAGCCGTAATTTATTTATGTAACTTGCATTGCTTGGACTAAAAATTAGCACGAATAGAGTTCTAAGATTGTTTGATCATGATTAGTCGTCATAATATATTTTTGTAATTTTTAAATATGGCCGCCATTAAAGAGCAATTAATTTTTTTTTTAAACAAAGCCCGAAGCGTCCGCACGCCTTCGTATGGAGGTAATTATATACGGAGGCGTAATAGATTACGAGTACAAGATCTCACAATTGTAAAAATGTAAGGCAGACTTCCCGATGTTGTGGAAATGAGATATTTATTATAGCGTTGTTGTATCTCAAGCATATCTGTTAGATTCCATTTTCTTCAAAGCTATGCCAAAGAGAAGTTTAGGGGGAAAAAATGTCAAACTACTGCCGAATTTCCTGTACTATGAATACCAAAACAACGATAATCCAGAATACTCAGACCAAAACCAACTTAGAAATGTTCGTTTCTTAAATTGGCCCAAATCGGGAATCGACCTCCTCATCAAGCGCCCATAGTACCTACTGACTGCTGTGCCGCCACCGAAGAGCATGAGCACACCTAACCGTAAACTGTACCAGACCACGCGCCGCAGGCCGAGCCCCCGACCCCACCGTAGGTGGGGTACAGAGCTCGTATTTAAATAAACATAACGAAAATAAAATCAATATCGCCATATTTTTAAATTTAGAAGCATTAGGACTTTATTTGAAAATTAATTCTAATCGGAATTTGCCTATAATTATTAATACAAAAAACATGAAAATTTATTTTCACATCAACGTGGCCCATATTTTCGGACTACAATTTTACAATTTGACCTTTGGCAATTATTAGGAAATTAATATATTTTGCCATATATTGCATCAATCTGTAAACACATTTTTGCGTGTATATTTTTCTATTTAGAATTCGATTCCACGAATCGAAATACATCATCGTCATGGTTTGTGGCAATTCGCAAGAGGTAGTGACCAAGGACTACTGAATTGGTATAAAATTAAATTGAAGTACCAACTCATTATGTACTGGTATTAATTTAGAAGGTCGCTGTTTACTTAGTCGAGGTTCGAAACGACCAGCGCTCCAAAATGTCTATAATTAATCATTTTCTATCAAACACGACAAAGATAAATTGTTGGAGTACTTCGATGTCGTGGTTTAGCGTAGATAGAATGCTGTGACAGTTACTATGGCTTTAAGCCTTGCTAAACGAAAGAGCTGCATAGTGCCATATAGTGTATAGCGCCACATGGTTACTTCTAAATACATTAAACCTCTCAGCTGGTAGAGCGGTTGCCCTAGATTGGTATTACCGATGCACCTTCGAGTCTTGGCAGATCGGAGAATTTCTTTATGTTCGATCTTTATATTAATAATAATTATAACAAACTAGTGGAGTAATTTCACATAAAAAATTGAATATCGGTAGTAAAACTAGGGCTCCATCACTCGCTCATGGTTACGCGATAAGTGCCTACCGCGGAGTGCGCCGACAGCTCAAGCGCTCATACAAGTCTTTCATTTATGAGCATTCAGCTCCGCACGAATGCACACAGCAACGTTATTTTCACCTCTCTGAGCGCGTGCTTAGGTTCCTTTTTCCTCGTAGTGAGCACCTGGTGTCATTAATCAGATTTAGTAGGCTATTATAGCATAGGTATTTTCGATTTTGTATGAGAGTGATGTATCTATCACGAAGTAACTATTAAGTAATCTGTGGTAATACGTCATGATATTCAATAAATTCAATATTACAATATGTTATATGGGTACTAACTCAATAAATTCAATATTACAATATGTTATATGGGTACTAACGAATATTCTTGTGAAGTAATAGTAGTTCTACCAGGAAGTAAGAATTCTAAGAGTGGTATCCATCATTGTACCTTGCAATTTACTACCCATGTCGATCCTGTCATTTCAGGATGTTTTCGTGACATTTGTCATAATATTCTTGGTCATTGTTATTGAAACCTCTCGGGTAACAAAGCTAACTGACGAATATACTTCTTTCATATCTTCCAATTGCTCCGTACCCAAAAATACCATATGCAAAAGTACATATGAAATCTACTTTTGCAAGTCCTAGATAGAAGTTGTAATTCATTCGTTCCAAGTTTGTTTGTATATTAGGTAGTCGGAAATTAATTCGGAAATCAGACTTCAAACTTGGCCCGAGACGTGGGTGGACAGGCGGAATTTAGATGACATATCTTTCATGTACTTGCCTACTTTATGTACATCTCATATCTCGTATCCACTGGTTTTAGGTTTAAAATACTACAAACTTCATCCACTCCATTCAAAAATAGAAGAGCTTCTTGTGAAAGAGTTCGTCTAGGGAAGTACTACCACCTTACCTATTTCTGCCGCCAAGCAGTAATACGAGCATTACTACACGCCGTTTTGGTTTTGAAGGATAAGGGTGCTGATGACATACACTCGCTCAGATCTTTGCGGTATAAAGCTTTGAGAGCCACTGTAAATTTTATGGGTAGGCGTGTCACTTACCAACAGGCGCACGACTTGTTCAATCGTCGCTTGATATAACAAAAAAGCACACATTAATATAGTAAATAACTTGAATATAATAATACCTTGTTCTTATTAATTTAGACCTTGTAATCAATTCGCTAAAACGTTTTCCTTTTCTGGTATTGTATGTTTTTTATTAGTTTTGCTTCTTCTCTATTGGCTTTATTTCTCGTTATTTAATGAGGTTTTAAAGATCGCGTTTTGTTTTTTCCCAGGTGAAAGACATCTGCAACGAGCTAGAAGTGCGAGTGTTGTGCCACAAGATCCTACAGAACGTATTGATATTACTTGACGCGGACAGGGGGTCTCTGTTTCTCGTGCAAGGGGAGAAAATCGCTACGCCTAATCAACAGAATGGCAGGTTAGTAACATTACTGTTTAAGGAATTGAAGCTGTTATTTGGCACGTGTGCCCATATTAAATGAGAATAGTTGATAAAATCGTTCTTTTTCCGATTTTTTTAACGTTAGGAAATCCTCATGGATACCCTCTGTCCGGGGCAAACAAAGGGTTATGTTGGACTCCTACCGACAAAAATTTGATGGTGTCGCTTCTCTTCACCATATGCTGGAGTCACGGGGGCACTCTCGCATTCTTTTGCGACTCCAGCGTTGAGTGGTGCGACTAAGCGCCGAACCCCATCTCGCTCTCCTGGGAGAGATGTTACCTCCCCTTCAGCCGTCTTGAGAGTCGGACGTGGAACACTCGAGCTCACCAGTAACGAGCGACAACTTACCTCCACCTTAAGGAGCAGGTTCTCAATTCGACTGTATGTTCTTTTTTTTTTTGTATGTATATTACGCGATAACTCCGGTATTTGTGAACCGAATTTCATGATTCTTTTTTTCTTGGAAAGGGGGTACTTCCGTAGTGGTCCCATTTTATTTTGAAGAAAATCATCCCCCTCTGTGGGTGTGTGTTCACGCATGATGATTCATTTTTATAAATAGCGCCTATCTTTAATTTAGGAGCAATAATTTTAATGGTTGATTTTGCTATTTCTCCAATTCAAGGCGTTTTTCTCTCAATATACTTTGAGTAGTGAGAACCGATTTTTATTACCTCCAGTTTCAAGTCCTGTATAGTGGCGAACTAGGGAATATTTCAATAAAACTTAGCAAATAGTCGTAATTCCACGTACTTTTGGGGTCGGTTTTTTAGTACTCTCTACTGAGATTAGGTTATTGCCTTCTTCATTTTTATTATGACAGTCGGCCTACTAGTATCGAAATCAATTTTGATTCATATACATTTTAACAAGAACAGGCGGATTTGATTATCTATATTGAATTAAAATGAAAACATATGTCTCCTTTTTGTATTTTTAATTGACAAATTCTAAATGTAGTGTATATGTACATGTATGAAGTTACAAAAATTGACAATGCAAATGAATCTGTGCCCAGCATTTGGACGAATTACGGGCCGATGATGATTAAAATTCTTTTAGTCACGCTTATGCAAAAATATCCGAACTTGTTTCTACAAGTTCGGCTATTTATTACATAAGCGTGACCAACGTTCAGTCGATAGTCGATAGAATATTTATCGACTGCAATCATTAGCTGCTTGCAAGCGGGCAACGCTTTTGCGCAATGAACTGTCATTTTGCTCCATCTTCATAAAATACCGGATTATGGGTTATCGGTGGTGCACTTTTGTAAAATTATGGCGAAACTTGCCTATGTGAAGTTTAATAGTTTCCCGAATTTGTTCCAAGTTATGTTTGACATCTATTAAACTGTCACATCGACGATGAAGTTATAATTTGATTATCACTAATTTCAGATTTCTTACCACGGTATGACTTTTTTTCGTTTTTATTTTCCCGATATTTCGGAATGGATGCACGCTCCATGGTCTCGGGTTTACCGGACGGCAGCAGATGACAGCTTTAAGAGCAGACATATCTGTCTACCCTCTTGCGCTGTCGACAACTACTACCTTCATCGCGCTTTATTGTGGCGTTACCATTGTCACTCACTTTTTTCACTTAAACCCCAATCACTGTATCCACACGCGAAACTGAACCCGAGGTGTTTTTGTTTTTATTACTGCACGCACTTAGGACCGGATTCCATGTACCGGTCAGCTTAAAACCATCATCACGGTTAAAACAAAAAGAAATCATACCGTGGTAAGAAGCCTGAAATTAGTGATAATTATTTAGTGAATTACCACGAAAGTCTTAAAATCTAGTTAAAAAAAGTTATAATTTATTCTATAGAACAATTTAAAAAAAGTGTTACGTGTACTATGGAACAAATAAGCCAGAAATAGTCTCATTTTGTTTGATGACGTCATGTTCTATAAAAGAAATGGTAGCTACCTCTATGTCAGTGAGGACAGGGGACGGTAACGTGAATAATATTCGAATCACAGCGCGGGTGTGAGTCACGATAAATGGCATTTTGTTATATGTCAAGAGTACGTAAAGCTTACGATAAGAAATGTTTCTTATCGTAAGTGACATAGAATTGTATTTAAACCGTTGTAGCCAAACCATAGTTGTCAAACCAAAGACACTTCTTTTTATTCTACGATAATTAAAAAAATTGTCTCGGGATTGACATACGGTGGAGTCTGTTGAAGAATTCCTGTGGCGGTATGTAGCTATGACTGTTTTTTAGATTACTTACAGCTGTGAATGTTACTAGCAATGTCTCTTGTTAACGGTGAAGTAAAATATCATGATGTAACTGGCACGTTGAAGAAAATACACAACCCTCGGGAAACTTGTGAAAATTCCAACCAACTTGGACCTTTTGAAGGCGAGTGTGAATAGGCATTATTTAGGTGTGCATGCTCCATCGTTGACCTCATTATCACTTTCCATGATGTGAGATGAGGTTAAATGCGCACTTATTTTTTATAACAGAAAAGAAAAAAACGTATATTGGGCCTATAGGGGCTTAAACAAATACCTTAGAACAGTGGGGCGTATATTGAGTTGATTTTGATGACACACTTGTATTTAAATAGTTATTGTTATTTTTTAACTTGTCGTAATTTTTTTTACTATAACTAAAATTATATCGGTCTATAATTTCGAATCGTAAATACAACACTTGCACTGACGTCAGCAAAAAAGAGAAAAAAGTCTTATCGTATCGATGCCTTACTCAGTCAAGAGATTCAGAAGAGGGAAATTTAACAATACTTAAAAGCCAGTGTGTGAATATGAAGATGTGACGGGAAAACAGCCTGCAAAATTTGTATATATACGATGTATTTTTTGCATTTCAGTTACTTTGTTCTTTAAGATACGAGTTTGAGAAAGTAAGGCGACGAATACTACTTAAATGCTTGCCGGCGAGGTGAAAAGGATTTGCACATCGACTTTAAGGTACTCGCCAATTGTTGCCCAGGGTACGCCAGAATGTACCCTACATTGTACGGGGTACAAAAAATAAAGAGAAAAACCGCAACTAAAGAAAATTGGTAGAAAGAAAGCTTTAGAAAGCTTTTTATTCTAAATTATATGTCCAATGATTTTTACGCTTTTCTCTGTTGAATGCAACGAAAGAAAACAATCTGAATGTGTAGCATTGTAGTCTATAAACGCACTTACAGGCGCCCGTGTTGCATAAGGCGTGACTTCATTTCCTCTCTGTCGCCTCATTGTCGGACACTTCAGAAGTACCGTCGTCGGGAGCCCGAGATCGTTAATATTAAGATAACTAATTTGTTATTGCAGACGGAAAAACTGCGCGATTACAGTAATGGTAGTAAGTATGGCGTAAAAGTGTTATTTTTTTTGTTTTAATGTATCAATGTTTTCATTGAAATAAATTTTTATACTTTCGGCTTTTTTTTTACAATGCAAGTTTTATTTTTTGTGAAAAAATATACGCACGATAAGGGACGATCTGGCAAATGCCTATATACTTTAGCCTTAAATAGCCCCAAAGTCTAGTTTTCGGCAACACAGCTGTGTATTCTATTCCTTTGCTGGACACATTAAGAACGAGGAAGTTAAGCGTTTAGTGCGAAATTAATTTTTATTAAAGATGTTATTGAAACTATTAATTTATTTCGATAAAATTCATCATTAGGTATTTCTGAAAAATTTTAATCAGAAAGTAACTTCATCATTGAAGAGTGCTTCGGGATTAAAAGGAAAACCTTTGATAACAACGCTCCCTTTGACTGCACTGTTAACTTTGTAAAGATGTAACTGCATAATGCGGGTTCCGTGAGATTTTCCTCCGCGTGAAGAATCAATGTCAAGGAGTTGTGTCGGTTATTTTCCGCTTAGGTCATAGTACACATTGTTTAATCAATTTTAATATTTGTTCGGTTATTTTCCTTATGTGGAATACGTTATTTGTAATTGGATCAAACACGTGTATTGTACTTATTATATCCCGTACAATATCCGATTACTTTGTGTCGATATTTGCACATTTGCATGTAAACATCATAAGATCAAATATCTGCTTTCTTTTGATTTTTGTTTTTAACGAAATGCGTTTTGTACTTACTTTGAGTATTATCCGTCGAACAAGTTTCGATATCTCATGAAAAAATCGAATTCACCAAATTATGAAAGTTGTAATAAAATTTAAGACGTCCGATACTTTTTGGCGAAATGTACCAAGATCAAAGGCCAGGGACAACTATTGATGATAACATTAAAATTGAACAGCTCCAACATTAATTTATTCCAAGGGAAACTGTCGGAATCCTTATCAAAATATACGAAATTGAATTACGGGAGTGAATACTAATGAATTCGTTTGCCGGAACTCAGCAAAGCCGCGTGGCCTAATTAATAGGTATCAGATTTTAAAACCTAAATAAGCAATGATTGCATACAACTTTTTTTACGAGTAAATTAAAATAATATCAATATTTATTCCAATATCATCCAATACTTAAAGATTATTTATAACAATCCACAACAACAAACCAAAGCCAAACAAACGCTACAAAACAAAAAAAAACAAACAATAGAAACACTGGCAGTAGAGCATTTGAATAGAGTCACATTTGATATTTTGTATTATTTTTGAATAGTTATTTTTTTTTGCCAAATGGTTACGCCTTTGTACCTGTTATATAACATTTCAGATAAGTATTATTTAATAAAATAATTTTAAGTTTAATAATTTAAATATAGTGACGTTATTCTGTTTAGGAACGCAGTGACGCGTTTAAGGAGACTTTTAGAAACTCACTGTACAGAACTATAATACTCATTATAGTGTAGTTTCGTGTACAGAACTATAATGAAGTTTTTCTGTTTAGTATTGAGTACCATAGACACTAGAATTTTAATTCACATCTTAAAAGATCACTTTTTTAACACGGTTTATGAAATTATAATTGACAGTTTATAATTGTAACTTTTTCATTGAA